TATTGCTGATCTATGATTATACAAAACTATTTTCCCGCGGTTGAGAGACATGCAGGGGACATTGATGTCCCTGGGGGCGGGACAATTTTGCTCTTTTACTACCCCTCCAAGTCAAAATCCCTGCCCCTCCCCGGTTGGGGGGTTTACATTGACTGGTGCATTAATTAAAGAAGTGTCAGTGCCACATATGTAGTAAAAGCCAACTTGTCAGTAAAGGCCACAGAGCAAGATTGTATTTCAAAGATTGCCAGTGACAAAAACAATTGATAGGCCTGAAATAGAGTATGCCAACAGTTAGTATACTGCAAATAACTATTCTATCAACAAGATAATGTGTGTTTTTACAAATGTTTTTATATATCAATCCAATGGCATGTAACCTAAAATTCAGCAGTGTCTGTGTAATGTAATACACCCTTACTTCTCAATGGTCAAATTAACTATACTACATTGTGTATAATAATATATGGACTGGTTCAAAAATATATTGAATTTATAACTTATAAGTGTTGAACTGGTGAACTATTGATGTGGAGATTAATATGCCAAGTATACAATGGCACAAGAATTTTCATGTTATCAGCATGATTAAATCGTGAGATTGTGCAAATAATCTGTGTAAAATCTTTTAGAGATATCCTCGGTAGCCACATTTTAAGGTAAAATGACTATGGTAAAGCTATTCAAGGAAAAAAATCATTGGATCTGTCAACCTCGTTGTCAACAGTGAATTTAACTAAATTTATGATCCATTTATTGCCGTATTTTAGCTGAGAATTCATTTAAGACAATGTAATACGATAGACTTACCTTTGAATTTATCATATATTCTTTTAAAATGGTCACCAAAGCTCTAAAACTCGATTGGTATCGTTTTAACTTCCTCACTCCTTAATGTTTATATGTAAATTTGTCAAATTACACTTGTTTAGGGCACTGGAAACGAGACGCGGCCAAGATGCGCGAGCCGACATGCGCGGGGACATCAACATCAAAGATTCCGACATCGAGTGAGACTTCTGGTCTTATTATTTATTTTGTGGTGCAACGAAGAAATACTGAATATTAAAATGTATACAACTATACATGATGTATATATGAACAATAAAACAAAGCATTAGCGGGCCGCACAATATATTACTCGGAAAAATATAGAATTCTTCAAATATTAAATAGATATCAATACACATACAAATATAAAGCCGAATAAAATACTACCATTGGCATTGAATGTACAGTAATACTTGTACTATGTGCGACTGAAAGAACAATGTTCTGAAGCTATTACTAAAACACGGTCAGATAGATTAGGATTTGGAATACCGAATACGTCTAAAATTTTACTAACTGTGGTCTACAGTAAATAAATGATAAATGAGCATGTATTTATTAATTTCTTTGAAATCACGAGCATAGCGGTCGGAAGCCGTATCGACGACGAAATTGTCAGCAGTTTATACAGTAAATAGTACGTTTAATATACGATATATATTTATATCTAAATGACATGCCAGCGAGGATCAACAATATAATTATCCGTACATATTTGGGTATCTTTTCTATACCTTCGTTTGCTGACTTGCTCACTAGTAAGAATAATCCGTGAAGCCACGACGACCTCAAAATGTACTATACTATAGTCTGATGTCAATCCGAAGACGAAGTTCAGAATACTGTTATAGTTTCGTATATTGGATTTAAGCGATAGATTCAAGTCATTTATGATAGACTTTTTGCTGTGATGCTTTGCTATTGCTTTTGGTTTCCATTTCTAGTTTTATTTGTTCGATAGTCTTATAATATATAATATTAAAATGAATAAAGTTCAAATTCTTCAAAATGCTGTTGTTGACATTTGCTATTTTTAGTAATTTTGTCAACGAGTGTAAACCAATCAGAAGCTTGCGTTTCTATACGAACGCCACTACCGAGAAAACCTAGAGTTCCGTGCAGGCCATCTATTCTTCACGCCGCCCGTAACCCAGGGCCTGTTCGCAGGCTATGAATTTGACTGATGCAAAAAGGGTATACCGATACTATATACTAGATAATGCTCACAATTTCTTGTATTATATAGTTTGCAGTTCTGACTGAGTACAATCTTAATCATTACAAACGAATGTGGTGTCATCAGAAGCTGACATAGCCTATGAAACAAAACTGTCAACAAATAGATTTTGTCTCCCCGTCAAGCATCAGCAGATTGTTCAGTTGATTTGCAACCTTGAAGGTGCCATTATTGCATTAAAATGATAATTGGACAAAAACTGACTTAATATTTTAATATATGAAATTGTTATGAGGGCCAATGATTCATTCGAGTGTTGTTATCGTTTATATATAATATGATTCTGTACAGTATTCAGTGCCAAGCTACAATCTTGGCAAAACGTTAATGAAGCACCTATAAAAAATCAATAAACAGACAAAATCCCCCTCCCCCCTGCACAATGTTCGACATAGATTCTAAAAATATGTGTACAATAGTTCGTCGATGGCAGAGAGCACTATGTGTATGTTCTGGCCACTATGGCCCCTAGATACTTTCTAGATAGACTTTAATATTATTCACTCGTTTCGCGGTATTTTTCCGTAATCGCATCTCATTATTAGCGAGCCAGGGGGTATTTTTACCGGTTTTTCTCTGGCTCGGTTCTCACGCCTTAGTGAGCATTCTTTTTTTACAAAAAGCGAATAAAAGCACCGTTTAAACTTATTCGTCTGTTATACTACTGTTGAAGGGGACAAGGCCTTTCCCGAAGGAACAGAATAGTAAAAAAAGAGTCACTTTTCCGGCGTGTATACATCGAGAAAGACGAACTGACTTCGAAGATATCTTTGTAGCGTGCTCGAAAATCGCTACAAAACGGCTTCACCTACAGAAGAATACGACTGTTTTACAACGAACAGCTCAATGGCAGATAAAACCACCGTCGACAACCCCGAGGTAGGAACACTAGATACGTTTTTATCGCAAAATAAGGCTGAAAATACGGTAGAAAATACAGGTCAAAACGAAATAAACAGTACTAAACCTGATAAAGCAAGCCCAGAAACGGACGAAAATACTCTGTCTGTCTCGACAAACGACCCATCCTCTCGTCCCAAAAGATCAGTAAAACCCACCGAAAAGTCTATCGAAAACAGGGTTCAGTCTGATCACTCAAAACTTGACAAATTGTGGCGAAACACGTCAACTGCTGTGGGCAAATTGCAAGAAACACCCGATTCGCTAAATCAAATAAAATCCCATACGTCAGAAGTACGTTCGCTATTCCACGAGTACCACACCGTTTCTTTGTCGCTCTTAGAGTTTCTCGCTAACCTCAGCGACCCCAAACACCAAAAAGAATACGAAACATTGCATAAACTCGTAAATAATCGTAGCGAGTACATTCATACAGTAATAAACGAAGCAAACGAGCGGAAAAAGGAACTTTTGCTTGAAATTAACTCTGTCCACCATTCCCGAATTTCCTGTAGTTCTCGCAGCTCCGCAACATCCTCCACCGCCGCTCGAGCTCTTGCAAGAGCTGAGGCTACAGCGGCACTAAAGAAGGTAGAAATGCAAAAATGGCGATCATTGCGAGAGTCCCAGTCTGCCATGGAAATACAACAACAAGAACTTGCCCTTGCCCAAAAGAAAATGGAAGAGAAATCCCGAATGGAAAGTTTACTATTAGAAGAAGAAGCAGCAGTCGCCGTTGCTAAAGCTCAGGCAATAGATAAAGAACTGAGCCTCGTAGATCATGAAGATCCTGAACACTTTGACCTACCCCAAGACGATCCTGCGGAAAGGGTCCAAAACTATATAAATTCGCAACGCTTCGAAGAATCTAACATTGGCCAAGACTCTAGTCCCCCGGTTCCAAATCATGTCATTGGTCCACAACTCCCACAGAATGCCAACCATCCTAATCGAGAAAAACCACCCAACCGAAGACTAGACCCGGCGGCCAACTCGTTTATCCCTCAACCACAGAACTCTGGGACAGACCCCAGTACAAATGCTATAAGCTCTTACATCCAATTCATGGCACGCAGAATTACAGTGTGCTAAGAACGACGGCGGATACAGAGGCCTCAGAATCCTCGACGAGCCCGCTTACATTAAACCTGTCATTGCGAAGCTCCCTGGCGATATCCAAAGCAGATGGCAAAAGCACGCCTTTCGATATAAGAAACAACACGCCGAGGTGGACTACCCCCCATTTTCCGAGTTTGTCACCTTCATCCAGGAGTTGTCCCTCGAAAGAAACGATCCTAACCTGATCATAGAGATTCCCGAGAAGAAGAACACAGGTATGCGAAACCCGAGCTGGCGACAAGAAATTAGTGTAAAAAAGAAATGAGATCGAGGCCCAAGATTGCAGAGTCGGACACGATCCCCCACCTCGTAACCCTACGAACTGGTGCATTGTCCACCACAAAGGGCACCCATTAAGCAAGTGTAGAGCTTTCCAAGCCAAGCCACTCGATGAAAGAACCACAATACTAAGAAAGAACAGAGTATGCTTTCGCTGTATTGCATCGTGCGATCACCTCGCGAAGGACTGCAAGGCCAAGGTCGTGTGCACCGAATGTGGAAGCAACAAACACCTCGCCGCACTACACGTTGACGGTGAGCAAAGGCACGGCGGGGAGCAGGTAGCAAATAAAGACCAATCCGATGATGGCGCTAACCCTCGACAAAACCAGCACGCGGGAGAGATTACAACCAAATGCACCGAAATATGCGGGAACTCCCCCGGTGGGAAATCATGTTCAAAAATCTGCCTAGCCAACATATACGTCACCGGACATCCAGAAACCAAAGTGAAGGCGTACGTGGTAATCGATGATCAGAGTAACAGTTCTCTAGCAAAATCCGAACTGCTCGATCGCCTAAACGTTCACGGTCAAGCAACCTCGTATTCGCTTAGAACATGCGCCGGAACAACTCAGATTCGAGTCAGTACGAATAAAAGTCAGTACGAATAAGTATGCAGATGACTGCACACAACACCAAATAGTGAGCGTAGATTCTAATAGTAATTTACAACAATCTATCAATGAAGTAAATAACTGGGCGGTGTTAAATAAAATGGCAATTAATGCTAAAAAAACTAAGGACATGTGGATCTCTTTCACGGACGCTATACCTGAACCACCACGTCTTCGTATTGGAAATGGGTTAATAGAAAGGGTCAACGCTTTTAAATTATTTGGCGTGTCGTTCCAAAATAATCTAAAATGGAACGCACATGTTGAAGAGATTACACGTAAAGCAAATAAACGCCTTTACCATCTTAGAGAATGCCGGAAATCGCAGTTACCAGCTGAAGTCGGTATTATTACCTATCAATCCAAAATAAGACCAATTCTCGAGTATGCATCACCTGTCTGGGCGGGACTGCCTAATTACCTGCGAGATGAAATAGAGCGGGTTTAATCCAGGAGCTTAAGAATCCTTGGCCTGGAAAAAGATTACCTACCACCGCTGAACGAAAGAAGGGAAGAGGCAACTAGTCGAGAAGTTGATAGGTTTATGAACGATCCAAACCATCCCTGTCGCAGTGTTTTGCCAAAATTAATTAACAATCGGTACTATTTAAGGAACATTGACCGGAATCGCAATATATCATTCTTCTCAGGAACTGAAAGGCATAAACATTCTTTTTCAGGAAGAGCTTGTAAATATGTATAAATAATTTTAACTTATTGGAAGAACCTATTAGTTTAAAGAACTTCTTAGTTTTAACTTCTTAGTTAGTTTTCTAAGTTATCTTACAACAATTTGTAATATAAAGACATACCCACAGCATATATACTTTCTTAAACAAGTAATTGTAAGTCCATTGTACTTTTTTATCTTAAGATGGATGAATAAAGCTATTATTATTATACTTCAAGATGCAGCAAAGATCTTGTCGTAGAGTCTGTGGACGGTAATAAAAATCATCAGCTGTCGAACGTCATCGAATGTAACGCGATCCCTGATTCTAAAGAAGAGATACCTTCGACAGAGGTAACCCGAGCTCACCCACATCTACACGAAATTGTTGACAAAATATCAGAGATCCGCGGCGACGTAGACATCCTACTGCGCATCGGTCGGAACGCCCCTCCACTTCAAAAGGTTCACGAATCCCGTAACGGACCTAGAAACGCCCCTTGGGCCCAGCGTCTTGATCTAGGATGGGTCATCATCGGCAACGCTTGCCTGGACGGAGCTCACACACCGAAGCCTTCCTGCTACAAAACAAACGTTCTCGAAAGCGGCCGACCATCAATCCTTTCACCCTGCCCTAATCGTTTCCACATCAAAGAGTACACATCCACCGTTTCTGCCGTCCCCTGCGACGAAAACAATGATCAAAGGAAAGAGACATTCGAAAACGGAAACTTTGACGATGGCCTAGCAGCCAAAGTGTTTGCAAGCTCGAAGGACGACAACAAACCTGGTCCCTCCGTGAAAGACACGAGATTTGTCAACATAATGGAACATCAAACGGTCAAAAACGAAGCAGGGAACTGGGAGGCGCCACTTCCATTTCGCAACCCGATATCAAGACTACCAGACAACCGCGAAGACACTCGTAAGCGTTTTAACTCCACAAGGCGGACTCTCGAAAGGAAACCGGAAATGAAAAGAGATTATTTTGAGTTTATGCAAAAGCTCTTCGACAATGGTCATGCGGAGCCCGTTCCCGAGAGTGACATAGCTTCAAAAGGACCACGGTGGTACCTTCCCCACTTCGGCGTCTACAACCCCCGAAAGCCTGATAAAATACGGGTAGTCTTCGATTCAGCAGCCGAAACCAACGGAGTGTCACTAAATAAGCTACTTCTCTCTGGCCCAGACCTGACGAACAGTCTCGTAGGTATTCTCTTGCGCTTTCGCTGCAACACCGTCGCGTTCATGACGGACATCGAACAAATGTTCCACTCCTTTATGGTTCGTCAAGACCATCGAGATTATCTTCGCTTTTTCTGGCATAAAGACAACAACCCCGAAGAAGAAGTGATCGAATACCGTATGAAGGTGCACTTGTTCGGTAACACTTCCTCGCCAGCTATTGCAGCATGCGCTCTTAGGAAGACAGCTCTCGTAGGAGAACCCAAGTACGGACCGGACGCAAGAGAGTTCGTAGAGAAAGACTTTTACGTAGACGACGGCCTAAAGTCCGTTCCCGATCGCGAGGGAGCCGTCGACCTGTTATGCAGAACCAAAACCATGTTAGCCGACGCCAATCTGCGCCTCCACAAAATCGCGTCCAACGACCCTACGGTAACACAGGGCTTTCCCGTCG